CATACACAAAACACATTCCTGCGGAGGGAGCTGGAAGGAACATTGGGTTGCTCAGTCAATGGCCAGGGTCAACGGCGGCTTGGTGTAATCCGCAAAATATGCCCGACTGTGAGGGCGGGCACAAGCCGGCGTGAGTAGGTTAAACGTTGAGTTTTATAAGGGCACCACGGGGTGACCAGCCCCTCCCCACCTAGCCCCACCCCTCCCACCCCCCACCCAGCCCCTCCCCACCCAGCCCCCCCACCCTCCCCACCCAGCCCCTACCTCCCCACCCAACCCCTCCCTGCACGACGGACACAATAATCCCCTGTGGGCTGGTGTAACCAGGAGGTTCCTACCAGTATAAAGCTGTGCCTCGGTCCTCCGACAGGGATGTTAATTATAATCATCATCATCATCATTTATATTTGTACGGCGCATTTCTTCCGTAGATACGCCAATCCAGATGAGAGCCGCACTTTATCCATGATCTGTTATGATCTATCCACTGCTGTATGAAGACTTCCCAAGCCGCCTGCCATCTATCGCGGTCCTATCCTGGGATGTATTTATGAATCTACCGAGCACATTGCGCAGCAGCAGCAGCAGCTGATTTCTTCAGGTGGAAGTGTCGTGGTCATCTTGTTCAACTAGCTGCGGAGCTCGCGAGCCGAGGACAGAGTCCCATTCGCAAGAGCGATCTTGGGAATCAGAATGACAAAAAGTAAACTCAATACAAATAAAGTACGCCAATGAGGCGAATAGAAATCATAATAACAAAAACAACGATATCACGTGATTCATAAAAAATTTCACGAACTCAAATCAATGTTAAATAACACGTTCCTTGCAGCGTAAGTCGACTTGTACGGAATATTTTTAAGTATACTGATCATAGTACACGGTGGTTCAGATGTCTTGTGAACCCCATGTTATTATGTAAAACTTAAGATTTTTAGACTTAAAGCTTTCGTGACTGCAGTAATTCATACTCTTTTTCACATGAGGACGATTGTTTGTGTTGCGATCGAAACGTTGTGATTTATTTTTTTATTTTTTCTATCTATAAGATATTTTTTTTTTAAGTAAGGTTTATTTAAAACATAAATGAAAATACACAGGAAAACATGTTCGGGGGCAATTAATTGGGGGGGTTACAAGACATCTGAACCACCCTATTGATTGAACATCGCTCCATCTCCTCTGTAGACGTCTCTCGTGTTCCATTCCTTGGTTGCCATTCCGTCGTTGGTATCGTCCACCGCCCATCTTCCCCTCTAGTACCACGCCCTGCCTTCTTATCAGCGAGCACGATGTCCTCCTACATTTGCCCATGTTCTCCAATCCACGTGCTCCACTTCACCGTCACTGGCTCTCAGTGTAATTCCATGCGTGCATTTTCCCAGTGCTTGCCTGCACGCCCTTGTAGCCTTTGTTCAATTTCCTTTGTCAATGTCCCTTCCGTGGTCCATGTCATAGCAGTCATCAACGTATCGTGCAAACCCAAGGCCTACAATAAAATGAATTAAATTATCAAAATACAAATCATAACAGGCGTCCGTCTTCTCATATGTCACACCAAGACATATGAGAAGACGTTTTCCAATGATTGTATTGGAGAATCAAAAGAATTAATAACAGTGGTGAATGTACTAACCATCTCAGATCCAATGCACACAAGGTCGTTCATAGCAATCAGCGGTAATTCATGAACCTCAGGAAATGATGGAAGAACCGAACAAAGAAGGCTGCAAAGTGGGGATAAGGATTAATAATTCACATATGCTGCTGTATGTACAGTATACAGGCGGAGGAACACACGAATTAGACCAGTGGCTATCAACCTCTTTAGGCTACTGAACCCCCTTGATGAATTTTGTTTTCACCGAGTAACCCCCTTGCCAGACCCAACATGGTTCTAAGAAATAAATGTATGAATAATTCACGTAAATATTTTAACCATTTGTCCATTTTGTAAGGTATCCTAACTAGCTGATAACTTGCAAGCGATTAATACATTTAAACGGACATACTGCATGCGTGACGTAATTTGTTGGCGCTCGCTGGTTCCTCTTGTAAACCACATTGTTTACGACCAATGAGTTTAGAAATGCATTTTATATCGTCCTAGGTTACCATGTGGATTTGATTTGATCGTAGTTATTTCATATTGGCAGATTCATGCATGATTATTCACCAATGACTCTTACGTAGGAAACAATTTCACACGTTTATAAATCCCCCACCCCACGTAGCCCCCTGGGACATTACCACGTACCCCTAGGGGTCTGTCTACCCTCGGTTGAAAACCACTGCATTAGAGATACATCAATAATTTAGAGATATTAACTGTAGAGAGAAGTGAGCTTGGGCAGATAACGTCCGCTCTAAGGGATGACGGCCGGTGGTCAGGACGACAGGTAGCTGTCAAGGGAGAGAAAACAAGCACGAGAGGACGTGAAACTTCGATTTAAAGCTTTCGTGACTGCAGGGATTCATCTTCTTGGTTCTTTCGGTAAAGTCACGTAGAATGGAAATAATAAAATAATAATAAAACATAATAAAATAATATATTATAATGATAATAAAACATAATAAAATAATATAATATATTCTTTTAATAAGTTGTATTTTTATTATTTTATTATTTCCATATATTATTATATAATTTTATGTTTATTTTAATTATTGTATTATTTCCATTCTACGTGACTTTACCGAAAGAACCAAGAAGAGGACGTGCAACGTGGAGAGGCTGGATGGATTGTCGCATTGAATGGCATTGAGAGATGGCCACGGCTTGGGGAGGCCTTCATTAAGCTGCGGATAGATCATAGCTGATGTTGATTTTAATTATGATACATCTCGGTGTCTATGTTGTGTGTCTCTCTCTCTCTCTCTGTGTCTCTGTGTTGTCTCTCTCTCTCTCTGCTTGTGTGTCTGTCTGTGTGTCTCCGTGTCTGTGTTTTGTCTCTCTCTCAAATTTAGTTCTGCCTGATGACGAGTGCTTGTGTTGCAATCGAAACGTCGTATTCTATGATTTAATTTATTTTCTTTCTACGTGGCTTTACCGAAAGAAACAACGAGTACATTTTATACTATTCATATAATCTAGTAATGAGTAAATTAACACACCTGCAAAATAATCTTAAATGTTTATGTAAGTAGAAAAATATCACTTGTAAATTTGTATATGAAGCAAATCATTATAAGAATGATTGAAGGAGCAGAATCATGATCTTTATTTATCCTGGGGGAATCCGATGAGCTATGAAGCTCATTTTCACGGATGTCCAGTAGGGACGCGTCAGCGGAGACTGCAGTGGTTTACGAGATGTCCCAAAGTTCGGGTTGTATGGCCATCATCGCCCTACTGTGGCTTGTCTTTAATGTACCTCAATGTGTCTCTATGGGTTTACTCTGTAGTTTGGGTTGCATGGCCACCATCCCAATCCTGCGGCTTGTCTTTAATGAACTAAAACTACGAAACTATTGTTTTATTTTACCAAGTAAGGCCCATTGAGCTATTTACTGTAGCTCTTTTTCAGAAGCGACTTGGTTGAAAATGACAGCCCAACGAAAGAGTGTGTCATGTGGAAACGTATTACTGCCAAATTCTGTAAACGCGTGTCGATTCTAAATGTGGAGGGAAAACGCGGAGGACTTGACAGAAAAAAAACCCTCCACGACCATCCTGTATTCTCGGCGAGGTCTTTAACATCTCATCAAATGTGGCAACCCCCTAATTTTATGAAGGAAATGTGCACATCGGCCTAGTGATGTTCTGAATGCGGTTGATGGTCTAACAACCAGTATCTTCGAGGAGGAATGTCGAAGCCGGTGAGGTGTGGGACGTTTGAATCTCGAACGAGGCCCTCGTTCATTACTCTGGGCGCGTGGGAACACTTCACGGGTTCGATTCCGGCGTTCGGCAGGAGTAAGTAAATCAAAACACACCTGTTGTTAATTTACTAGGCGCACGAAGAACCGAAAATCCTCAGGTCTCTGTCTTTGACGGTGTCAAATAACAGATACATGTCGTGTATTTGGATGGGAACACATTCCTGCGGAGGGAGCTGATAGGAACGTTGGGTTGCTCGGTCAATGGCCAGGGTCAACGGCGGCGTGGTGTATTCCGCAAATATGCCCGACTGTGAGGGCGGGCACAAGCCGGCGTGAGTAGGTTAAACGTTGAGTTTTATAAGGGCACCACGGGGTGACCAGCCCCTCCCCACCCAGCCCCACCCCTCCCACCCCCCACCCAGCCCCACCCTCCCCACCCAGCCCCCACCCTCCCCCCAGCCCACCCTCCCCGCCCAGCCCCTCCCCACCCTCCCCTCCCCACCCAGCCCCTCCCTGCACGACGAACACAATAATCCCCTGTGGGCTGGTGTAACCAGGAGGTCCTACCAGTATTAGTAAGGTATTGTGTCACGTAAACAAAACTCGCCAATTCGTTACGAGTACAGCACACCGGCGCGTTGGAGAGTAAACCTACAACATTACAATTCGAGAACGACGTTTCGCCAGTAATTGCAACCGGCATCATCAGGCGAGAGCCACACATGGCTGTAATGGTAAACAATTGCCACGGTTTATTTGTGTTTCCTTTACGTGACAAACCTCACGACTAGGCTGTGTCGGTCAGTGGCGGGTTTAACGACACATTTATATTTACGCGATCTAACCCAAAAAAAAAACCTCTATTATACAAAAAAGAGCTTCATAGCTTATCGGATTTATGCAGTCTCAATAAACATTCCGATTTACATTTATTAGAGCACATAAGTATCCGCCAACAACAACCGTACTGGTCACGTGGCGCTCGGGGAGGGCGGGGGACCAATAGGGAACTCGACATTCGTCCGCGGCGCCTATCCGCGGCGCGAAATCTAAATCGTCGTCATGCGCGCATGCGCAGTGCGTCCGCGTTCGTAAAAAGTGGCGGGGCCAGGCACCCCTCCGGTGAGGCGAGCGAAGTTTACTCCGTGAGGTAAAAGCGACCCGTCTTGTCGGCCGACCCTTAATCGGCAGCGCCATCTCCACGAACGAGCGTAAAAAAACAACATTAAAACGCTCGTGGGGTTATTTGGCACAACGGGAAGTGGCGCGAGATCGTAACGGAGTTTTATTTTTTTTTTTGTCGGTGGAGGAGGGCCTGGGTTTGTGGGAAGCCTACCGACTTTTCCTGAAAGACCCTGCCCGGGGTGAGGGGGGTAAGCGGGGGGGGGGGGGGAGTTGACCGCGGGAGCGAGGCGGGAGGGGTGGACGTGCGTTTTGTTGGACGCAATTGATCTATAATGTTAGAACTGTTGTAAATGTACGTTGTGCGTGCGCGGTACAAAAAAAAACTGCGACGTTTCGGCGTTGGGAGCTTGTGCGGGAGACTGGACAGAGAGAGCAAGCGACAGATACGACTCGTGAGAGAGATTCAGACGCGCGGGGAAGACGTTCCGAGTCCACATTGACGGACGCAGAGTGAGACGAAATGGGGGTAACACAATTGCAAAACAACCAACTGTGCTGGCTGTACACGCGTCGTGTCAAGTCGGGCGATCTTAATTGCTCCACCGCCCTCGACTATTTAGATCGTGAGCACCTCTGGTTGGTGTGAATGGGACCCGTAGAAGACGCACGTGCGTGCGTGTGTACGCACACGGGCAGTGTTAAATGTTTCCAGCGTTCACTTACGTAACGCGCTATTGTTAATGATCAGACACTTTGCTCCTGTTGTAGTGGGGAGCTGATCAGCAGCTTTTATATATATACTCATGTCGAGGTCTGTGAGTGAGACAGCGGACGGCTTCAGGAATAGCCTCGTTAAACGTCTCTTAAAGACTGAGTGATCGAAGAGGGCAAGTGCAGAATTATTGTGGCCCATAGTTTGAAACTGGCGACCAGAGTCCACCGTAGACTGCTCAATTCACAAGCAGGAGGTCAGGAGTCAAATTTAGGTTCAGGGGTCGATAAAGTGAATACCACGTTGTGGTTCTTTTTACTGACAGACTGACCCACTTTATCCGACAGTGGAATTGTCATCAATATATTATTAATGAGAACCCCTTGAATAGGGTAGGTGAGTGTGCTGATTATCTCCGCACATAAATGTGTAATTTCCACCACTGGCTTTATACTGCCATAAAAGATAAGCACCGCACTATTGTTTATTTGAGCAGGTAGAAACTTGAAATCCTATTGGGACTTCAGATGTCCTTTAGAAATGCAGATCTGAGGTAAGGGACACCTGTGAACCACCCAGCAGGAATGGGTTCAGAAGCTTCATAGTGCTTTTCCTTTTCAGCCCGCTTAGGAGGGAATCTAAAAAAAACCCAGCCCATAGCCTCACACATCACATTGACTTTCTTATTTTAAGGGGAAACATCAAAGTGACATCTGTCATCGCTTGAGGGTTTCCCCTGTAATATATGGAATGACAAATACCCATGTTCATGACTTTGCCCAGTGTGACCCCACGCCTTTTAAAATAGCGGACACTAACTTAATGGGCATACTTTCTAGAATTAACTTGATGTTTTCAACAAGTATTGAGCTCGCTGAGATGCATTATTTACAAGTGCGTTATTATGTAGGGTCACTTGGCATTTATATAATTGTAATCTCGGGTAATAAAACACAGTATTTGAGTTACCAATTTCGGTGTAAGTGAAGTTGAGACAAAAAGGTATTCTTTTGTTCGTTATGACAGGACATGCTAAACGCGGTTTTTTGAAATTGAACATTTGCTCAGAGATGTCCTTGAGAAAACAGAATAACTTTGGTGGCACCTACCCAGTCGTGTGCATATGCATTGAAAATGTGACTTGTTAGTCGTTTCCTAGCAGCGAAACATGTTTACAGCACACGCTGCTTCAGTCAGGGGGTTGTCAGTTGTGCAACACGATTAGGGAGTAAAATGTCTGGTTTATAACATTCTCCAAAACATTTTAATAGAGTTACGGTCTCCATATATTTGTGTTGTTAAGTACAACGTGAAGTTCGTACTGAAATGTATAGGATTAACATCACAGAGGCGTGTCATAACAGGAGTAATTAATTGCTTTTTCAATTGACTAACACACTTCGTCATGCTTATCTTACTGCCCTGGGGAATTTATCACCAAGTATTGCAGGCAAAGGATTGGTGCAATGTCCTTTGGTACTGTTACTTGTCCAGTGCCCAACATGCCATATGGAGGTGACAAAAACATTCTACTCCTTATTTAAGCCACTCGGCAGGATAGGTGTGTCTGGATTAGGGTCAGTGGTCACGGTAGCACCAACGATGACTAACCGCCGCTCGGTGTAGTGTTCAGTAATAAGGCAATTTTGATTTTTTTTGTCAAGCTAAAGCTGTGGTTAAATCATTATAGGCATGTAACATTTCACACCAACGCAATACCATGCAATTTCTATGAATGGGAACAAAACAGGGTAATGATTCGTTTCAATGATGTTTTTGTCTGTTCTGTCTCTTCCGTTACTTTCTCGTTTGTACTGTATTTTCCATACTGCTTGTGTTAAGGACATTCTGTCATTTATAATGCCTGTCCTGTGCTGTTTGCTTTGTCTGCATTTGTATTTTTTTGCCTCTGTTATTCATTCCAACCATAAGCTTTAGAGAATAATGTTAATACATTTACTTGAATTTGAAAATAACACTTTTACATATTGCGATGCGTTTATCGTGAGTAATGAATCGAACTAGATTCGAAGCTTTTGTGACTGCAGGAATGACTCTTTGGTTCTTTCGGTAAGTTACGTAGAAAGAAAATAAATTAAATAATAATAGAATACGACGTTTCGATTGCAACACAAGCAACCGTCATCAGGTAAGAATGAATGAGAACTAACCTAGTAAACTTAGAAATATAATGCAATTCAACACAGAGAGTCGGCTAACACAACAGTCAACACCCTACCTGGTTGATTACGTTCTTCCAAAGATTACTAAATTTGAGAGAGAGACAAAACACAGACACGGAGACACATAGACATACACACAAGCAGATAGAGACACAGAGAGAGACACAACATAGACAAACAGAGAGACAACGCCTCTGTGTCGAGGTCTTAAATAGAGAGAGGGGGGCAGAGAGAGATGGGGGGGGGGGGATTGGGGTAGAGAAAATGAGAGAGTTGTGTGGAATTTCTGCCCATAGAGGATGGAGGAGATACAATGGACTTTTAATTGTTATTTAATTTATTTTCTTTCTACCTGACTTTACCGAAAGAACCAAAAAGTATAATGAATCGACTGGAATGTATAATTCGTTACATAGCTACTAAATAAGCTAATACCCCCTTCATTGGACAGGCCGCTAAGATGCAGGAGGCGGTGAGGTTGGTGTCGTGTGGTGATGACATCCGCCTGTGGGATGCACCGACCCTCACTCTCATCGACCAGTTCAACCCGCACAGCACCGCACAGAGCATCTCTTCGCTCGCAGTCTTCGGCCATCCTGACAATATCCTTTTGTGAAAATAATGTACAAAGTCCTTTTGTCAATCCAGGACTGAATAAGGTTCTCCCTGCGGCCGGTCAGTGTGGTTTGGTGAAGGTAGTGTGCCAAGGCCAGTTCAGATATCACTTGCCACTGATGTTAGCTGTGGCTGGGAATCGAACTTCGGTGGAAATGCTTGGATCCTTTAGCCACCGCCATTTGTTACCATCTCTTTTCATGCCATACGTCAGTGCTGTGGGTCAGAAGCAAGGAGTGCTAAAGTCCTGTCAACCGTTTCGAGCCGTCTGGAAAATATATTTTGCTCTGCTGAAGATGAAGACAAATGGCGGCCCTCTTACTTGATGGAGTGAGACCCTGATTGTGTTTTCCATCACCGTGTTATGATGAGGCTTTTGGAACGTCTTGGCCATCTGCCGTGTTTCATACCGATCTATGTTTGCTTTCATTAGCCCTGGTGAAAAATGCTTTTTAAGCGCCGACCTTAAAGATAACATAAGCCCCCTGGAGTGCAGGGACCAAAGAGCTGTGCTTCTTGACGATAGCCATTCTGCGGTGCCTTGCACGTTCATGAAATCAAAAAGCTTTTCATTTTATCGTGTGCATGCACGCGGCAGGAGGTGCTGATGCTAAGTTGCGTTTGCCTTGACATGCGACTAACGTCCCTTTGTCCTGAGTGCCTCTGAGAGTGGCGACCAGATTACTCTCACAAGCTGCAAGGTGGCTTGCATCACCGTTCTTCAGCTTGCCGAGGACGTAAGATCCAATTTCCGATGAACAATATAATTGATCAAATATGAAATGTAAATGATCGCAAGACTCAAAATTGCACAAGTAGTTTCTTGTTGTCAGTACATATCAAGGTTGTGCATCCTCGACTGTGACACAAATTTCAATCGTAAAGGAGAATCAAATACTTTAATATTATGGTAAAGTGTATTATATTATTACACCACTCTATTGACATCACTCTCATAAGTTTTAATACACCAATGCAAATACATCACTAGAGAGCGCTATGGTAGCACCCTTGATCATAACCTTCAAGTAATTATTGTGCTTTTCATCTCGGACAGCTTTGGTGCCTGTCACTTAAAAGACAAACAATTGCAATACATATTTCATTTTGAATGCATAACATTTGTTTTTGCCGCATCAGTTTTTCTTTTGTTTTTCATTTCCCCCCACACAGAAAGGACAGACTTGTGTCTCCCTCAGCTCCAACAGCCAGTTTGTCCTGAGCGGAGGAAAAGATGGCTCTGTCAACATCTGGGACCTTCATACAAAAAAGCTTCAGAAATCATTCACTGTGAGTTTGTTCAACACCCACAGACTGTAGGAATGTAACGATTTATCTATTTATCTGGTAAATCGAGTCTTGCGCTCTTAGCGTACTCATACAGCCCTACTGTCAATCCACTGCTGGATGAGGGCCTCTCCACAAAGTGAGTCGTTGGGGTTGTTTGTTCTCACTTCACCATGCTCATTCGTGAGGGTTGGTGAAGATGGCTCGAGTACAGAACAATTGAATTTGGCTGCACTGCCATGTAATCTTTGGCATGTGGTCTATTAAAATTTCTTGGCAATCTAGAAGACAAATTGCGCCCATTGTGAATGACTGCAGGACCACAGCGCTGCGGTCACATGCGTCTCTTACAACTGGAACGACAACTATGCGGCGTCGGGCTCTCAGCAAGGAGAGATTGTTCTCCACAACACGGTCACCAACCAGGCCAGCGCCCCCTTTACGCATCCAAAATCCCAGGTGAGTGCCATGTGATAGTGAAACATGGGTACATAAATACCGTATGTTTTGCTGCTAAATGTGTATTTACTTATTTAGTCATTCCTTGATAACCAAGCGAGAGTCTTGTGTTCAAGGCATACTTGGATTGGACACAGCTTTGCTTTCATTGTTTTTTTTAAACCTTTGATCTTTTTACTTAGAATATGTATTGCATTTGTTGGCCTATCGGCTGGTTTATTGTTGGCTCAGGTCTCTGAGACAAGTAAGGCATTTGGCTGACGAGTTTTCTTCACCCACTAACCGCATTCCCATCTCCCCAATGCAGCGTAAAAACCCCTTCAGTTTTTACCCTCATTTTATTTAATGTGTTCTGTTTAGATCTGTTTTCAGATAAAGTAGAACGCTCATGACTGTGACAGAAACGCGTGTTGCCTTCCATGCGGCCCAGCAGCCGGTGCAGGACCTGCAGTACTCGTACTTCAAGAAGGCGCTCTTCGGCAGCGTGTCTGACGACGGCTCCGTCGTTTTGTGGGACGCGAACGCGCGGCGGCCTCACCACTCGTTCACCACGGCGCACAGGGCCCCGGCGTCAGCGCTCGCCTTCTCCCCCGTCAACGACCTCCTCTTCGTCACCGCCGGCCTCGACAAGCGGATCATCCTCTACGACATGGTCAGCAAGAGGTCTGTCGCAGTAGATGTTTTGCCTGTTGGCCGAGTCAGCCCCTTGAAAAAATAGCTTGGGGCTTTTCCGCGGGATATAAACTTCAGATTCTGAAAAGTGTGTGTTGTGGATTGGTATTTTCAGGCTTAAGGAAAAAAAACGAGACAGAACTAATGGTACAATACGAATTAGAAGAATAAAAGAAAGGTTAATTATTTCAATAAAGAAAATATTTGACCAGCTAAAAGCCCTTTTTTAAAAGTGAGACCTGCATTGAGAATTCAGAGCTGAACTGATGCTTGACAATTCATTGCTCCGATTAGCTCCCTGCATCTCCGATTAGCATGGTTGGCTATGTACGGTGCTAAAGAAGTTCCAACATACATACATGGCTGAGCAATCGCGCATTTTTCGTTTGTTGCAGATCACAGATCAATCTGAGCGGTGCGTGATTAATTCTTTGGGTGCATAAACCATACATCTGTGCCGTCTGCTTCACAGTGGACGTTAAAGATCCTGTGACAGTTATTAGAAAAGAGTAAGCCATGTGTGCTGGCATCATGGTCAAAATTTGCTACGTTTGATAAACTAATTGAAAACTACTAAATTCGGGAAATCACGTAGCAACGGATGAAAGCCAAAGTACAGGCCGGTACTGTGTACACCCTGTGTCAGAGGTCGCAAACGGGTTTTGATTCCTTACCCGTACCCGGCCGCACCAGGGTCGCAAACGGGTACCCGATACCCAGCCGGGTATTGGGTAGGGTACGGGTATCGGGTACCCGATTGCGCCCTCTGGGATGAAGCCATGTTGCAGGCGTGGGTGGGTTGGTTCTAGGAACTTGAATTGTGAGAAGAGACAAGACGTTGGGAAATGAGTGACAAACGGTTACTCACCAGTGACTCACGGCCTACCCGTACCCGTACCCGGCCGCACCAGAGTCTCAAACGGGTACCCGTACCCGTACCCGGCCGGGTACGGGTAGCCGGGTATCGGGTAGGGTACGGGTATCGGGTACCCGATTGCGACCTCTGCCCTGTGCCACACAGCGGCAGCTGCCCCTAGGATCTCCTTGGCTGAACCACAGTCGGGCATTGAAATGGTTGAGATGACATGCGATGTAAGGGGCTTTGAGTTGCTGAGGAGGCATTTAAGCAAGCGCTCTATGAATGCCAATCCTTATCCACCATGCATCTCCGTGTTTGGAGTGCAGTTGAAACTTAAAATGCCGCGTGTGCAAGCGTTGGATGTTAACGAAGTTTGATTTTTTTTCTCTGCGGGTAGCATACTGCGCTCCGTGACGGCGGAGTCTCCTCTCACGGCGGTGGAGTTCATGCCGGATGGATCGACTCTGGCGCTGGGAACGTCACGCGGCAAGCTCATCCTCTACGACCTGCGCATGATGTCGTCGCCTTTGCGCAGTGTCTCAGCGCACAAGACGTCCGTGCGCTGCCTGCGCTTCCACCACAAGCATGGCGCTGCCAAAGTGAGCGAGCACAACCCCCCGGCCGTTATCTCTCACACGAAGTTAAACAACTCTCCCCTTGTCCTTGGTCCTTTCAGTAAAGTCACGTAGAAGGGAAATAATAAAATGATAAAAATAAAACAATAAAATTCTCACGACGTTTCGATTGCAAAACAAGCAATCAATGCTGTGGTTTTCACACCTGATGATGATTGCTTGTGTTGCAATCGAAACGTCGTGAGAAGTTTATTGTTTAATTTTTATTATTTTATTATTTCCCTTCTATGTGACTTTACGGACAGAACCAATAATATGAATCACTGCAGTCACGAAAGCTTTAAATCCAAACTCTCCCCTTCTGTGTGAACTTAGCCTAAAAGTCTTGGGACTGTTTGCTTTGATAAAGACTGGCATGAAATATATGATCCAAATCCAATAAAAAATATATTAGAATGCAATACTGTGAGACAAAGCATGGTGGCGCAAGACTGGCAGATGATCGAGGGGAACCGCGCCGCGGATAGGGAGTGATTAAATCAGCTCATTTTTGCACGCGCTAGGTGCATTATATCATTGTGAGACCATGGGAGATGGCGACGGCTTAGGGGGGGGCTTCATCAGTAGATTATTTCTAGCTGATGATCATCAGTTTGTGTAGAAGCTCTGGGTGGATTCTAGATTAGAAGTTTTTGTGACTGCAAGGGTCCATACTCTTTGGTTTTTTCGGTAAAGTTACGTAATGATGTTAATGATGACGTCACCCTGCTGCTGCTCTATATAATAACGGGAGACAGAGCAGAGCCTCACCATTCTGGCGAATTGCCCGATGATGCTGGATGCAATTACCAGCGAAACGTCGTACTCAAATTGTAAATGTTGTGGTTTCACGCTTCAACACACCGGTGGGCTAAAGCAGTGAACTATTTGTCTTTTGTCAACGTGACACTTTTTTACTGATTGGCCATGTCGGGTGGTGGAGGGTTACGACACATTTATAAATAACGCGATCTAAACCCAAAAACGTTGATTGTGAATAATATTGGTCGCGAAAGCCTACGTGTTAAAAAGTTACGTAGGTAAAAAATAAAATAAAAAGAAATTAAATCACGACGTTTCGGAGGCAACACAAGCTTCCGTCTTCAGGTGGAACCGTCACGGAAGCTTGTGTTGCCTCCGAAACGTCGTGATTTAATTCATTTTTATTTTCTTTTTTACCTACGTGACTTTACCGAAAAAACCAAAGAGTCTGGGTGGATTATTTCTTTGCACGATTACGAAAGGTGCCAGTTGCTTGGGAGGTGTTAATGGCCTTTGCCCAGCAATGGATTGACCATAGCTAATGAAGATGATGACTGTACCACGTGACCACATTTACAATTATACTTCCATGAGGATTACTGAGAGTTGATACATTATCAGTGTAAACATGCCACATACACTGAGAGATACAAACGTTACCATGTTCATCTAATTCTAAAAACAGAAGAAAGCTACATTTAACACGGACTTATTATTTTTTTAATCTGCGCGTCTTGGGATGTTTTTCTGTTATTATTGTCTACATTTAACCTTCACGTCACTCAGCTGTCATCCACTCTCTTGTCTCGTATAGTCGGAGGCTCAAATTAATAATTTGGTGGAAACCAAGAAGATGAATCCACTTTTTGTTTGATTTTCAAGATGGGCAATCCAAATTGGCAACAGTTAGTGGCAACTTTCTAAATTTTCTGCCACATGTTTTGGAAATAGGCCTTCATCTTCTTGGTTCTTTCGGTAAAGTCACGTAGAAGGGAAATAATAAAATAATAAAAATAAAACAATTAAATAATTCTCACGACGTTTCGGCCACAACGCAAGCAGCCGTCCTCAGGTGAAGAACAGGTCTGTTCATTCAGACGGCTGCTTGCGTTGTGGCCGAAACGTCGTGAGAATTATTTTATAATATTGTATTTTTATTATTTTATTATTTCCCTTCTACGTGACTTTACCGAAAGAACCAAGAAGATGAATCCCTGCAGTCACGAAAGCTTTAAATCCAAAGAAATAGGCCTTTTCAAGAGGAAAATATTAAAATTATTTAACAAATCATTATTAATGCTGTATTAGCACGTACAAAATCCCAGCACCTTTGTGATTAACATTGCCTCAGAGCACAAAACTACATACAGTAATTGGCAAAGGCTTTGGGCAATGGCGAATCTTTTTTTTAAAACGTCAACCTACTTATATATTTTTCTCACATGAATCAGATTTTTAGTCTTTCAAGATCATTGTTAAGTGTAACATTTATATTATTATTTCGTGACTTTTAACACGTCTGCCTTTTGTTCATAACTATTATTTGTCAAAAAAACTTTGCTTATATATATTTCCTGCCCCCCCCCCCCCCCCCAAATATCTCCCCATCCAATTATTTTTGTCCTTGTAGTCATCTGCGTCAAAAAGTGCAGCGTCCTCAAAGGCCGTGGAAGCGCCTTCATCTTCCCTGGCCGGAAGCCGAGGAGGTGGGGTTGCTGTTGCGGCGCTTGGAGCAGGTGCAAGCGGCAGCAGGGTGCCAGCGCCAACAAGCGGGGTCATCGCTAAAGCCGTCATTGTGGGGCACAACGGGGCAGGTTTGTCCACTGTTGAAGGCATTATCCATTTAATTGCATTCAGAGGTATAGTCATAGTAATATGAGTTGATAATTATCACTAATTAAAGCCAGGTAAGAGCTCAGGAAGAAGAACAAATGGCTTGGAGAACATATGCGAGTCGGAGACATTATATATTGATTGCTAAGAAAAGTAAGGTGGCTTGGACAGGACATGTCACGCGTGGGGATGATTGTTGGTGGCCGAGGCTAACTAATTAGTGGCAGTCAAAGGAACGAACATGCCTGAGTGGAGGTCAACCGCAGAGGAGAGGCAATGAAATTGTCTAGATTTGAATTGTTGCACTGCCAGGGTGAGAGATGGTGATGGCTTTTTTGGTGGGGGGGGGGGGCAGGTGGGGACCTTTATAAAGAAAACGGCTGACGATGATATTTCAGGCTTGATCTGCAAGTTGGCCAAACGATGACGATATGATGATTAATAGCAGGGTTTAAATAAGTACAGCAAAACAAAACATGCATGACCAACGCAAACAGAGAAACAATGTTCCAGCTCGTTGTTATGCGTTAATGTGTTCGTCTGCTGACATTTGGCGTAATGGGCACATGGCTGTGTTGTCGCGTCTGGCATTATGAATCTGGCCTCTAGAGGTTTGGTGCAGAACAGGCATCAGAATTTAATGGTGTTGATAATGATGTGTAACTTTTCTCACAATCGGCACTCAACCAGTGGCTGTACTATGGAAATATTGGCCCCCGTCATATGAATGTAGAATTTCTACCACTGCCTCGCAGCCACCGGCAGACATGAGCACCACCCCATGCTCGTTTTAGATTTTGATATTTTTTGACAATCATTAACTATATAATATATTCATAGTCTGTTTTATGTCTGCTATATACCATTTTCCTTAAATTGTATGCAGGTGTCAGCCAGCTCAAATATAAAATCACGTTTGGAAGAGAGTTTATAAATGTTTCCAATGAAATAACCATAATTAATTTAGTTTTGTTGATTTGTGAGGAAAACTACAAACTTGAAACTCGGGCTATATTTATTACTTTTTCTTGAAAGTCACGGGCATGTTTTTCACCCAAGCAGACGGTGTACTTGTTTGATAGTTTCATGTCTACATTGTTCGTGCGCTCCTGATGTACTTTGCAGGCTTGGTGCAGCCCACCAACCAGAATGCCCAGCTCAGTGGCCAAGCGAATCAACTTGACATGCTGGGGCGAGATAGCTTTGGCGAGATGTTTTCACCTGTACGAGAAGGTGAGACGTGTGGATTGAAGAAAAAAACACATTTTATCTTTCACAATCTTACCGAAATTGTCAATTTTGGATTACGAGTCTTATTTGCGAATACACTGAATTTTTTTATGCCCTTTGGGTTCAGGTCAACCATGTTAATGGTTTGAATATAGAATGCATACTGGTTTGAATCCAAAGACGACGCACCATGGTGGTATGAATTTCTAGATGATGATATAAAATCTGTGAACATGTAGTAATCGTGAATACATAATTCTTGCATGCATGTCTCATGAGACAAATTATCAATTTTTATTTACTATCACATCCCTAATATACATATATTTAAAATAACATTGTGTGAACAAAAACATCTGTTCCAGTTTATAATGAATAATTTTAATACAGAGTTTCAAAACAAATGTCTGCTGCCACTCCTGTAAAGTCTGGTTTATTGTCGCTGCCAGGGTTGAGCTCGGAGCTGAATTCCTTGGAAAACCACGATCTGTTATCCACAGCTTTCAATAAAACCAGCTGTAAGTGGCAAGCAGTGCAGGTACATTTGTAAATATTCCCATGCTCTCAAATAACTGTTACGAGGCTAACACAAAAGACGGTAAAAGACACCCTCCACCCGGCTTCCCCTTTGCTTGCAGTGTCGGATGGCATCAGTCTGTACGCCGCCAGCGCTCACCGTACCCCCGTCAGCCAGGGAGCTGGTTCCACTGCCGCTGCCACCGTAACCGCCACCATGGCGTCGGCGGCGCCAGTCGCAGAAACGGCGTACACAACGCCGCTGCATTCTGCCCTGCCGCTCATCGACAGGAAGGACCCTGAGTTGGCCCTGTTCGTAACACCAGACTCGGTGACGTACACGCCCAAGGAGGTGACGTGGAGCCAGGAGGCCCGGAGCACGGTGCCAACTTCCCCCGGCCAGGTCAGTGTGTGGCAGGTGCTTGGGTTTTAGAAGAAATGGTTTTAAGAGAACGTGTCTGATGCCCCCAGGACTGCTGTGCCGGGTTTGCCACCTTCTTCTATCTTCACTCTTTCCTCTCCTTGGCCATCTCCGTGTTCACCCCCTCAGTCCTTCAGATCCTGATCTTACCACTCAACTAGGTCTGCCTCTCGGTCGCTGACCTCGTGCTTCCGTCTTAATCATCTTTCTTCTTACGACATGTCTGACCTGAGATCGAGTACTACTCTTTCCCTCATCTGTGAAAAAGTGCTTCATAGCTCATCGGATTCCTCCAGTCTAAATAAAGATTCTGATACATTTTTTGACACGATCCAGTCTTGTGATCTGTGAGATCCATCTTCATGCTGCAGTGTACAACATCTGCTCCTCCCTGTTGTTTAGTACTGTTGGTCATCATTGGTCTTTGACTGTTGTAAGTACTTTCACAGTCGTCTAGATTGGATCGGAACCTTCCTCGCACATCACTCCATTTCTTTACATTTCACCTACACCTTGTGGGTCTTTGCTTTGTTTATTTTGTCCAGTCGCTATCCTGTTGTGGACCCTAGATACTCAAATATGTGTCAGCTTAAGTTAGAGGGGTCTGTATCGCCATTGGAGATTGGAATTTCCACCCCTGGTTCAGGGCTGCCAATAAAGATAAGGACCTCCCAAAGTTTGCTTGAATAGGAATGCACGTTAATTTTCACTTGATTCACTGTTTTAAATAATATCATTGGAATTGTAATACTTGTTGTTGCTAAAGAAAATGTTTCTATTCGTATTGGTCTTTTTGCAGGGGTATTTAAATGTATGCTCAATGTTGGCCAGTATGCGTTTAAATGGAATGTCATCAAGTGGCACTTAGACATTCTTGACCTTTCCGTTGACTGCGCAGGAAAATAGCACAGCGCCTCAAAAATAGTGGCACATGGTACACGTTCAGCATTCATATACTTTGGTATATGTGTAAATTATTTCATTTTTGTTTTATTGTTTTTCTTCCTCGACATTCTTTTTCAATTACTAAACATAGACCTAGTATCAATCTTTACCGTGACACTGATCGTGAATGCTTCATGTCATCGAGTTACTTTTCAACATTATAAAAAAAACATCGAAATATTCACAATGCGTGTAAATGTTTTATTTTTCAAATAATTAAGAAACATTATTGTTATAAAAAAAGTGTTTTTGTCGTATACATTACACTTTGCTCCCGTCTTCCTTGATTACAATTTTTACAAACGTGAAGAATACTGATGTTGAAGGATCCCTTACTGTGTCAAGCATTTTTGTACTCTGCACTCTGTTAACATGCCTGGTGTGTTTCTGACAGCTATGATTTATTTTTATTGTTTGTTGTAACTTTCTGCGCCACCCCAACTGGAGAAGTGTGAAAAAGAGTTTCATTGCCCATCGAATTTCTCCAGGATAAATAAAGATTCTGATTCCAATTCCGCTGTGCTGACACCATCGCTGCGCCCATCACCTGCTTTCACTCCCACAGTTTGCCACGAGGCCGGGCTCGGTAAACTCCAGCAACTCTGAGCCGTACACGCCGACGTCCGCTGGTAGCACAGCTGCCCTGGGCGCGAGCCCGCACCTGAGCGGGCGCGAGCGAACTGCTGGCAAGGACGCTCGTGTCTCCGGCACTCCAGTCCTCGCGGCCACATGTGAGCCCTGTTCTGTTTATCGGCGTTTGCGAGATGGTGGCAGAGCGTGGGAAGGCGCAGGGGATAAAGTTGCAGGCATGGTAACGATTCGCTCCCTCGCGATTCAATCCCTTTGCCACAAGTTGGGATTTAAAGCAAGAATCGATTCGACTTTGCTTTGTAGTAAATTTGGCACCTATGGTGGCTGCATGGGTCACGTAAATTGACGGCATTAAAAAAATGTTTGTGCAAATATAATTTCTGTAAAAATACCTATAATCGATGAATTGACGTGTCCACCTGTACTTTTACCCTGGGCCATGCTGTGGCGTTGCCATCTCCCAAGTGGTCTTTTATCATTTCAACTTAATCCCTCATGTTGTTGCCCATTTAATTTCAGCACGCGGTAATTGATGCGGTTGTATTTAAATGCGATATAGACTGAAATTGTCGTTACATGCGAAGTAACCCGTGCTTCTATCAGTGACTGTGTCCTCCTCTCTGTGAAGCGTCTTCATCAATACCGCTTTGTCTCTTTGTCTGCCCTGCACACCACTGTACTATTTTCCCTATTAAAAAAAGTAAATTATTCCAAGTCCTCTCAATGTAAGGAGCACCTTGAGTTGCAGACACGTGTAGACGCTATTATGAATCCCCATTGTAATTGTAACCAACGTTTAAAATAATAACAAACCTTTTATGAACGTTTCTCACATCCCTCTGTGCGAGAGTGAAAATTGGTACAAGGAAATGCCATGGCCTCAATGATTGTTAACATAAATTGTAGATAAATTGAGCCACTGTATTTTCATGAACAAATCACGTGAGATAGATACCACCACCGTTGTCACTAACACTGGCATATAACAGAAACATGCGAGTGTATAATAGCCCGACGCTTAAGGCAGTGGCTCTCTTCTTTTGAGATGATGATGAATGTTAGTATGGGTTTACTATGTCCCACTTTGCCCAATGGACGTCTGTCCTGTACAAAGGAAAACGAGGGGATCCTCATGAGACAATTGCCAACGCGTAAAAATAATTTCCATAACAATTTCATAAAAGTGAGTTTCTACGATCCTGTACCATTAAAAATGTATTGAGATTTTTGCACTGGAGTGAATGTAGTGACCCCTAGCAAGCTCGAGGGGTTACTTGAACCAGTTATCTGCAACATATATGATACAGATATATAATTTTTTGATTTGGAGCATTCATGGATTCGTATATATTAATAAATATCAATTAATCGATCCAGGTGAACTGTGCAATAGAGGCAATATATCGTGTGTCCCACTGGGTTTATTTAACCAATTGGGGGGAGCGGTAGTGTAGCGGTTAGCGTGCTGCGCTATAAACCTGGCGATCCGGGTTCGATTCCCGCTCACAGCCAACACCAGTGACAATTATCTGAACCGGTCCTGAGCTTCCCCTAGGTCGACTCAGCCTGAAATTAGTACCTGGTGCGGTGTGTAAACATCGCCACTGGGGAGAAAAAGGCGGTCGGGCGTGGTGCTGGCCACCCACCCCCTCGTGTACCGTTCTGGCCTTCATAGGTGCTCGCTGACAGCACTTGCCCCTACAGTCTGTTAAGGCTATACGGGGGATCTTTATTTATTTAACCTGTAATAGAGTTTTTTTGGGTTAGATCGCATAAATATATAATGTGTCGGTAAACCTTCCACCACCAGACACAGCCAACTAGTAAGGGTTGTCATGTAAACAGAACGTGGCCAATTCGTCACCAATACAGGACACCGGTGTGTTGGAGAGCCAAGCCACAACATTTACAATCTGAGTACGACGTTTCGCCAGTAATTACAACTAGCTTCATCATGCGACAGCCAGATTTTTGGAGAAGTCCACCTGTTTCATTCCTTATATAGAGGCATACATTATGCATGTGTAATAAAAGGACTCGAACACTTCTTTCTGTCTTCGTGTCCTTTATTTGGGGTTCGCGTTCTCCTTCCCACACGGCACTCCTCCTGAGACTCTCTCCCTGGCAGCCCCACATCTGCCTTCGCTCCCGTAGCCTTCCACGCTCCTGCAGCTCCGCTGCAGGCTCTTGGTACAGCCCTCTGGCTGCTCCCCCAGCAGCTCCATCTCTGCTCCCTGTTCCTCCGTGCGTGGCGATCTCGCCACCTCCCAATGTCAGCCCTTCGTGGCCTCTATGGCTATCTCGCCATTTCCTACCTCAGCCCTTCGTGGCCTCTGTGGCTATCTCGCCACTTCCTACCTCAATCCTCCACTCTCTCTTCCACCCCGCTGGCTGGCGCCGTCATGAGCCCCTCAGCCACCAGGCTGAGGCACGGCGACCACCCAACGTGTTCACCACCCTTCACTCCCCCGACTGACCCAGATAGCTTCCTGTCTCCCCGCTATAACTTCTCCCCCACGTCACCCTGACTCCTCCCTCTCGGATCGTCATATCCGCCCCGCCCATTTACGCCCGCATTACACTACCCTCCCCCGTAGAGAAAATCCCAGCCGTCCTCGGCTGAAACGGAACAAAATAATGCGGGCGAAGGCATCACAATCAGGAGTCCCCCAGACACAACGGAGATTATAACAACAACAACACAAGCAACGAAAGGGGAGGTATCAGGAACTGGAACAGAACACCGGCCTGTCCTCCGCACAACAACAACAAGAATAAGAATGGCACAATGAACAAAAACGGCAACTGACACGCAAGAACGGCCAACGCGCACAACCCAGAAATGTGATGTTTTAGTGCGTGTCCATGTTGCAGTTCCATCCGCTCGGCTCAAGTCCAACGTCAAAGAGCAAGTGGTAGAGCAGAACGACGAACGGTGCTCAATTGCTCCTTCAAGTCCTCATCCAGCTAGCACACCAGGTAACACCCAGTGCGACGGGAGCTGAAGAATCTGTGACGAGAAGGAGAATCCAATCCCCTGAGGCACAGCACAACAACGCACATCCGCCTGTCGTACACGACAGCCACCCGGCCTCAGGGTAGTGGAGATGATGTAAATCTGGCCCGCTTAAAAAAAAAACCCCCAATAATTACCCAAATTAACCGCGATCGATGCCCCAGTATTTACATTTTAACAACAATATTATTTACACGTGACAACAACAACAAAAATTCTGCTCTTACCCACCAGCAGTCCTCCCTTGAGGACCAGCACAGACCTCAGACGTACACAGCATGTACCCACAGTCACTCTCAACAAACCAACAAAACGCCTAATCGCACACCCTCGCGTGGAGAGAGCCACGCTCCCCAGCGGTGACGTTTAACTCGCCGTAACCCTCACCGTGGTCGTCAACCCACAGCAACATCCATTTACCATACTCTCGGCTAGTGCCATTTCGGGGAAGAGCAGCACTCGGCCATGCTCCTCCCTTACTATCCCATCAGCGATGGACACACACCAGCCTCTTATAGTCTGACGCTTTATAGCCCAGGGAAGGTTCATCCCCCGGCAATGCCAGACCCCATGGACTCCCCCCACGGGGCAATGTTCTCTTATAGAGACAATAACACCCTAACCCAGATCCCGTGAGCCCCCGGCACACCAGGTTCAGTCTGCCACCGCACAGCTGAACCATGACTCCCCGAGCCATATGAGCACATGGCCCATTAGTTTAAGACATACCACGGAGGTTTCGCCTCCGGGCTGTCAGGTCAGCCATCAGCCATAGGCCGATGTGACCACAACTCGTGCATCACCCACTCAACAATGGCAGGCATAACAGATGGAATATTTGCCCCACCCCGGTTTTTCCCGCGCGCTCAAAAATGGCGTCCCCCTTCGCCCAGCGCGTTCGCGCAATATCTCTCGCGCGCACTCAAAATGGCGGCCCTTTCCGCAAAGCGCATCGTCGCCATACCCCGCATGCGCGCAAAATGGCGGCCCAACGTGCGAACACGTGGCCAGTTTTCTCCATTCGTGCACCCCAGCTCCCCTTAGCTGGGGGTCACAAGACGCATCCCCCCGTCACGTTATAACAACCCCACCAACGATAGACGCACAGCCCCAGCTTGCTGCGCACAGCTGTCATATCGTGGAATTTTTAACCAATATTTTACCAACCACATTGGTTACACAACCCAACTCGCCAAGCAACTCGTGGCTGCATGCGATCAACCGAATACGCGACGCCACTTGCCGCCAATTTACGGTCCCATTAGCATTAACCTTTGAGACACCCACAACGGCGTCATCACGCACCCTCAAAGCGCGCTCTCTCTCAAAAAGCGCAATTACCCATAATATACACGAAATCTCGTGTGCACAACACCCATACAACCAAATATTTGGGTCCCCCTCGAATTTGTTACCAATTTCCAACAGGTACGCACAATATAATAACAATCCCAATTCCAATAATCAACCACTGCATCGCACCCCATAACCATACAGAACGGTATAACAGCACATACAATCAGCATATTGCGATCACACGCGTACATTTAAACACAATAGCAAGCAGATCTGCAGGCAACCAACACACCATTAATCCTGTCGTAACTTTGCAGCAACAACACAATTATTCTCTCTCTTGCAACAATCGCATCGCACACAGCACCTCGCAGCACAATACACCAAAAAAAAAATATATATTTTTTTCCAATTAAGCCCATCGCACAAGGTAACCCACAAATAATACAGCGCAAGATACCCGACGCTCCCAAGTTAATAATTAACTTCACCATCAAGATAACAACTCCACGCAGCAGCGCACACACACAATTTGACACTCAGCAAATACAGCAGACTCTCCGTCCATTCTCAACACACGCACACACTTATATTGACACCAAGCAACAAGCAGATAGCGCGTTCATCGTTGTTACACACACATACACACAGTCCGAACCGCGCTCCGCACAATCGAGTCATAAGAGAAAACCAAAATAGCCCCCCCGGCCCTCGAAAGATGAGTGAGGTGTGTGTTAAGGCCGGGTGCGTATCGTTATGACTCGCCCGGGGCTGCAGCAAGAAGAGGACGGCAGGGTGGCAACTTGAGACGCCTCGCAGAACTCGTTCGGCGACTTGACGGCTCCGTTGTCACGCACCCGAGCCAGGACGGGAAGCTCCCGCCCCAGCAGCTGCAGCATCGGCGTCTTCTCATCGCAGCACCCCCTCGAAAAACAGCAGCTCACAGCAGGCTGCTCACCCCGCGGCACCTCCAGATGGCAGCGCAAGGCTGCCTCTCCGCCGCGATGTTGAAGATGGCGGCGTCCTCCCGCCGCGGTGAAGACAAGATGGCGGCTTCCCGCCGTTTTTCCCCTGCCACGCCCAAGATGGCGTCTTCGTGCCACGTGGCAATGGCGCTCACAGCGCAGGAAAGGCAGAGGCCTGCGGATCACCACCGGGCCTCCCCGTCGTCGTCCTCGGCGTGGTGAACTCACACAGTCGCGCCAGCACGATTTTCAAGGTCCCCATCTGCATCACCATCTGTCTCCATCGTAAGTTGGCGTCCTCCGGCACAGACAGGTCCACCGACGCGTCGACACCTTGCTCACCCGGACCCGTACTCGTTCCAGAACGGATCTCCTCTTCCATCGCAGGCAGGTCCACCGTCTGAGGAAGGTCGTCGTCGTCGGATGATGTAGCAGGAATATTCTTTTTTTTTTTTTTCTTTCTCTCAGTTGTTTTGAGATGCCGTTTCACTTCTGACTCCAGTGTAATAAAAGGACTCGAACACTTCTTTCTGTCTTCGTGTCCTTTATTTGGGGTTCGCGTTCTCCTTCCCACACGGCACTCCTCCTGAGACTCTCTCCCTGGCAGCCCCACATCTGCCTTCGCTCCCGTAGCCTTCCACGCTCCTGCAGCTCCGCTGCAGGCTCTTGGTACAGCCCTCTGGCTGCTCCCCCAGCAGCTCCATCTCTGCTCCCTGTTCCTCCGTGCGTGGCGATCTCGCCACCTCCCAATGTCAGCCCTTCGTGGCCTCTATGGCTATCTCGCCATTTCCTACCTCAGCCCTTCGTGGCCTCTGTGGCTATCTCGCCACTTCCTACCTCAATCCTCCACTCTCTCTTCCACCCCGCTGGCTGGCGCCGTCATGAGCCCCTCAGCCACCAGGCTGAGGCACGGCGACCACCCAACGTGTTCACCACCCTTCACTCCCCCGACTGACCCAGATAGCTTCCTGTCTCCCCGCTATAACTTCTCCCCCACGTCACCCTGACTCCTCCCTCTCGGATCGTCATATCCGCCCCGCCCATTTACAGCCCGCATTACACATGCGCATTATGCGGGCCCATTGATCTTGTCCTTCCTGTCCATTGTGTGTATTAAAACAGCCGTACCAACAGTAAACCCTATTGAAGTATGGTGGCCTGTATAGGCATGCGTTTAAACAATGTATTATTCGCTTCCACGCAGCACTAAATATAGAATATGACCCCTATATTCTTGATGTTCCTTATGAAACAATCGGAGTGGCAGAGCATTAGCTTAAAAGTTTTCATGCATTCGCTTTCTTCTGTCTGTCTTAGGGATACGATAAATCTCGTAAAGATTATCCGATATGAGTGCCACATTAGTATGAAGTTTTTGTTGCTATTCAACGACTTTCTCTTTAGAACACTGGCCAAATTGATCAAAGGGTTTTTCAAAACTTGAAGACAAAATCCAGCACTCGAAGAATTTGCCTTAGCATCTGTGCCCTTGTGGTATCTGTGTCCCCGCGGCTCCCCTCCCCTGTGCCATCTCGTGTCACGTGCCGCCTAACGTCATCTTTGTTGTTCAGCTTATCGCTGCTTGAGACCTTTCAAGAACAAATTCATGTTGGAAAGTTATTACGGAATCCATGCACATTCACGGTTTTTATTATTTGCTTGTTTGCCTTCGGTCTGACAGTCCAATGTGTATACGCCAACAAAAGTTGCCTCCATCACCCATCCCTGAAGCCTCGTGCCCATCTGCTGTTCTACTCTTGCCCCCCTTGCCTTGCATTTTAACCTTCTCCCTAGGGCGATGCTCATTGATCTAGGAGGGGCTGGCGTTGCTCCTAAGAGCGAGCCAGCGGCAGGAACGACGTCTGCTTATTTTCTTTTTACGTCTGGGTCTGCTGGCGCAGCGTCCGCATTGTATTGATGTCGCTGCGCCTTTTGTGATCCTGCGCAATCTTAACAAGCGCTTGCTTATGAGCCACCTCAAAGTCACCGGGGTGTAAATGCAAACTGGCACGCTTTGTGCGTTTGATGGTGTGCTTCAAGTACGGGCAAGTCCTGGCTTGCTATGCCTCGCGTTTGCAAAGAGGCGGTCGAGAATGCACCCTTGAACCCTTGCGCTTAACAAATAGGCTTGGGCAGAAATGAGAGCACTCGTGGGTTTTTTGCGTGCGTTAAATTGTTGCTCTTCAGAGGCCAGCATGAAACCAAATAACCCAGTTGTTGCCGGTCCACACTTGTGTACGCTTCGTGCGTTCTGTACCATTACACTTGCACAGTGTAGCTGCGGTACGTGAAAAAAAAATATCCGTGTGCTTTTGAGTTTGGACATTTATCCTGCAAGTAAAAAACACGTGATCCTCATGTTTCTTTCTGTGCTTGCAAATGTAACGTGTGTTTTTATAAATAAAATAATTTATAGTTGTATCATTTAATATGGAGTGGCACAAGAGTGGTTTGCGCTCTACGCTGTGAACCTACGACCTGAGTTTCGATCCATGGCCAGAGCTACCAGTGATGTCTGAACCAGTATTGGGCTCGGCTTAGAACTACACACCTGTCAACCCATACGGTTTACCCGTATTCTTTTACAGGAAAATTGAGTTTTCAGATCCATACGGCGTACAGCCCTTTCAATACAGGCACAATTTATTGTCTTCGTATTTCTCCCTTGTGATGGGACTTTGTGGGATGAACGTTGAGATTCATAAGGGCACAGAGTGACCAATAAGCTCTGAATTGAGCTGTAATAAGGTAGGCACTGATAAGGGGTTGACATGTATGGAACTATGGTAAAAACAACCCCGCATGACCGACACAGCATGGATAGGCCTTCATCCTTCAGTGGATTGACCAAGCTGTGACAAATAGGAGTGCGGTAGCATCGCTGGAGGGTGCTGTGGCAGCACTTCTGATGGTGACTTTTGGTTCTTCGTCTCAAACAATGCTTCGAACTCATGTGGGGGTCAGACCAGGATACGCGACCTAGGTATGCGTCTATAAAACAACTGTATTTTTAGTTTGCCTTACAATTTGCATGCTTTAAAAATATATATTGTTGCTCTTTCAAATCACCTTGAATGCAACTGAATCTTGTGAGATCTTAGAAGCTAAGCAGGGCTGAGCATGCTTAGTATGCAGATGGGGGTGTTGGACAGAGGTCGCAATCGGGTACCCGATACCCGTACCCGACCCGATACCCGGCTACCCGTACCCGGCTGGGTATGGGTACGGGTAGCCGTTTGTGACCCTGGTGCGTACGGGTATGGGTAAGGAATCAAAACCCGTTTGCGACCTCTGGTGTCGGGGTTCGTAGATTTGAGCTGTAAGGTGACCAGGAGATAGCAGTGAAGCGATGGAGTCTTGACTCAACCAATGCCGGGGCTTTGAGTGTCGTGCCATACATAGTACTGTATGCGTGAGTTTTCTTCACATTCCGTTTTCCTCCCACGCGTGAAAAAACTATCGCGGAATCGGCCAAACATTGCAACGCAGGACAATCTTGAAAAAAGTCTCAAGACTTGAATCTCTCCTGCATGAAATGCTTGATTGTTTATTATTATTGATCACACCTTTTTTTGCGTGTACATTTTCTCGATCTAGACGCGGCGGTGACGCCACCCGGCAGGCCGGCGGTGGAGGTGGCGGGAACGCTGGCACAGCGAGTGGCGGACGTGGTGCAGAACGGCGAGACACACCGAATGCTCACCCCCTTCCAGGTCGACTTCATCCGTGGCATGATCGAGGACACCATGGAGACCTACACGTACGTGCGTCTCTCCTGGGGGGCGCCCCCCCTTGCGTCGTTTCTGTTCTCACTCTTGTTGTTGCGCGGCGACAAACCTTCCGTTGAGAAGTCTTGCGGCGAGCAGTGCTTCATGTTATATCAGATAACCGCCTAGGAAGATTGTCGCACGCCTACTTCTGTGTTCCCCTTGTCATAGGGGACATTTTTATGATTGTGATGTACTCATTTTGGGGATAAAATAACGAATTTCATAATTCATTATCTCAAGTATAAATTGATGGAATCTTGTTTTTTGTGGTTTCTTAGTCAGATACATTGGCAATGCCTTTGATCGAGCATTTTGACAGCAAGAGTTGTAGTGGCTCACCTACATTTGTGAAAAATTATCATTTGAAAGGCATAGGCCAAGCCCTAATCCCATTTGAAATAGGTTTTCCGAGATGAAAATTTTACGCGATTATTATTATCGTTGAGAGGGCTACCAATTTGTGTTTGTCATGCAGGGATGCATTCCATCGGGACATGGTGAACCTGCAGGTGGAGATGCTGCGGCAGTTTGAGATGCAACAGGTGAGTCGGCACGCCGCTGTGAAACAATCCAGGGTGTGCGCATATAGTTAGCAATTCAGATTTGTCAGCTCCATCGTTCAGAGCGACGTCAACCGGAGTAGACCGAGGGTATCGTCACTGTTTCTGCGTCCTCTGGGTCACATGCTGAAAGCGGAACCTATTGTACAGCCCTTTCTTCAATCTGCCGCCGGATGAGGGCCTTTTGCGCCGTACCAGCCGTGGAGGCTATTTATTTGGTCATTGTGGTTTGTTGAAGGCAGCGAGAATAGATGTTTGGGGTGGCGAGACGTTATAACTACCTCGCCTGGTATACAGGGAGTTTGCATGTTCTCCCCGTGGTTGTGTGGATTTTTCTCCGGGTCCTCCGGTTTTCCCCCTCCACATCTAGAAACACGCGTTTCGACTATTTGGCTGTAATATATTTCCACGTGATAAGCCACTTGGTCGAGCTATCATTTGTGGCCAGGTCGCTTCTAAAGAAGAGAGATGTATAGCTCAGTGGTCCTTACCTGGTAAAATAAAATAAAAAATATAGTTAAATAGAGTTTGCTTATAGTGCAGTACATCAATGGATTTTCCCCGCATTGCAGCTTGAGTCACGCTCATTGACACACGCGCGGTTTGCATGCAAATGAATTGTCACTGCGCTGTGTTCAAGACCTATATGTGTTTGGCTCGGTGTCCTTAGTAGTGGGCGCCCGTTGGCATGTGCACTTCTGTTTTGGTTACGTGGATAATGCGTTTGGAATGAGACTGCCGAATGCAACAGTACAATCTGGCTCTGCCTTTGCAAAAAATGCTAAATTATCTCTTGCACAATGAGAACTGATGCTGTAAAGCAGCTTGAATCGGCTCAGTAGTTTGTTTGCCAGGGAATAAGGCGTGCTGTTCATTTTGCTTTTTGAAGTTAATCCAGCATATAAAATAAACATTCTGAGTATCCTAATGTTACTTGCCAGTAGGTTTGTTTGATTTTTCTGGAACAGTATGTGTGCATGAGTGTCATTTGTTATTCCCAACACTAAGTCAGAGATGTTGGGAATATAACAAAGTAAGAAACATCTGATGTTATGCTTAGCATGATGCTCGTCCTAACTTTCACATGGCCAGCAATTCGAATTAACTCCTTTTCTCAGTTTTATTTAAAGTTAACATGAGAATAAACTGTGCTTGCACGAGTCTGTGTATGCGGGTGTGTGTGAAGGCGGTCGGGCGTGTAGCTGGCCACCAAACCCGCTCATGTGCCATGCCGGCCTTCATAGGTGCCCACTAACAGCACTGCCCCTACAGTCTGTCAAGGCTACACAGGGGATTTTTGTCTTTGTGGGCATGTGTATGTATTTCTATATTTTGTGTGTCTGCATGTATGAGGAAATGTGGTTAACCCACTGCGCTCCGAACGTTTGTTTCCCATCCAATACCAATTTCGGTGGCAAGTGATATCTGAACTGGTTCTGGGCCTATTTCGATTTAAAGCTTTCGTGACTGCAGGGATTCATCTTCTTGGTTCTTTCGGTAAAGTCACGTAGAAGGGAAGTAATAAAATAATAAAAATAAAACATAATAAAATTATTCTCACGACGTTTCGGCCACAACGCAAGCACCCGTCCTCAGGTGAAGAATGAAACACCACCAAGCTTGGAGCGTATATTTAAGCTGGGTTGGAGGGGGGAAGAAGAGCGCCTTGACAAAATAATTTGCATATCAAGAGGAATTTAGCATATTTATGGTCAAGGCGCTCTTCTTCCCCCCTCCAACCCAGCTTAAATATACGCTCCAAGCTTGGTGGTGTTTCAGTCTTCACCTGAGGACGGCTGCTTGCGTTGTGGCCGAAACGTCGTGAGAATTATTTTATTATGTTTTATTTTTATTATTTTATTACTTCCCTTCTACGTGACTTTACCGAAAGAACCAAGAACATGGTTCTGGGCCCTCATCTGGGTTGACTCAGTACATGGTGCGATGTGCAAACATCAGCGCTGTGGAGAAGAAGGTGGCTAGGCGTGGTTCTGGCCAGACCACAGCCTCGTACGCTCTGCCAGCCTTCGTAGGTGCTCGCGAACAGCACTTGCCTCAACGGTCTGTGTATGCTATATGGGAAATTTTTGTCTTTGTCTGCATGTGTGGCAGCATGGGTCTTTGTAGGGTATGCGTTTATACGTGATTGTATGTTATATGTGTGTGCGCGTGTGCTTGGACTCACCGGACCGTTCAAGAACGTGATGGAGTCCCTCCTGGAGCGCTACTCCATCAACTACACCCTCGTCGCCGAGATCGAGCGCCTACGCGAGGAGAACAAGAAGCTTCGCTCCAACTACTGACCTCTGACCTTGTCGAAAATTAGATCCACATCCGAGCGATAGGTTGCTCAACTCGATTGCGTGCAACTGAAACGCATGTGTGGATGTCTCCAGCAACCGTTGTTCAAAGCCGAGAGACACTCTACTTTCAAGCATTGATCAGCCCAGCGATTTGTAGCGACGTAATTTCGTCGTGCGCTGCACACTTGCGAACTTTCAGTCCGTCGTTCCAATCATAGATGCGGCGTTTCATTTTGTCGTGGCTTTTAATTTCCTTTTTCCGCAACTACTCGCTCGGATCTGGACAAAGCAGTTGCGAGCGATTACTTGGCGCGATTTGATTGCGCAACTGTTGGCTTCAGTTTTGGGCCACGTTAAAGACGACTACTGACCCTCTCCCATCCACTTCTGCTGGAAGTTTTAAAGCAATATGTGTGGAGATAACATTCACCATGGACGAACAGCAATAACCATTCGTGTTCTATGTCCCTCTTGTAACACTCTCATTGCCATTTACCTGTATATATATGTCTATATTAATGTGGGGAGCAGTAGTGTAGCGGTTAACACGCTGCGCTACGAAGCCAGCGACCCAAGTTCGATTCCCGCTCACGGCCACCACAAGTGACGAATATCTGAACCAGTCCTGGGCCTCCCTAAGGTCGTCTCAGCTTTAAAGTGATTACCTGGTGTGGTGTGTAAAAACATCGCCACAGGCGAGACGAATGCGGTCGGGCGTGGTGCTGGCCACCCACCCCCTCGTGTACCGTGCTGGCCTTTAAAGGTGCTCACGAACAGCACTTATCTAAAAAAGGCTGTTTAGGCTTTCAGGGGGATCTTTATATATTCACATGTGTGTGTATATATGTATATTTATGTACCTGTCCATGCCTGATAAAAACGTGATTAAGGGCTATACATTTTGAAAAGCACATTGAGGGTACTGTACCATCATAGCAGAAATTGTTCAGAAAAACGTGCCCAAATTCTTGCGATAAGAACCTTGTTTGCGTAGGTCACTTGGCTCATGAGTGGAAGGCAAACTGTCGGTCACGTGATCGCACGAAAAAATGTCCATAGCCGCGGGGAGTATGTGGATATGCCACACTCCTGTATGCAGATAATGCAGTAGCAGCACTGGTGAAAACGTGGAACTTTTGTAATTAAGACTGCCTGCCTGCACTGGCGGAGCCAGTGGGGGTGGGGTGGCACGTGCCCCCCCCAATGATCCGATCGAAATCCCTAATTTCGATCGGATCATTGGGGTTTATTAGTAATAAATCGGCATTTTGCGACCCCCATTGCCACTGTGTAGCATATTATGTGACAGGACAATAGTCTGAGTCCATAATCGGAAATAAGTAACGGCAAAGCAGTTATAAGTGACTCACAGAATTGTGCGCAGTTGCGTATGCAGTACACGACTTCCCTAAAGGCAAACACCTTCAGCGAGCGCGATGCCGATCACACAACGCGGTTCGAATTCGACCCTCGATCGATGGCTGCACCATCGCCGCACACGCGTCGAATCAAAAGCAAGGGACAAGTCCTTACTAACAACTATTATTTTTCATTGCTGGAGGGGTTGCCCCCCCTTAACGTGGTCCGGTATCATCGGCTTTGAAGGGCATGAGACATTTAAACCGTATTCATCGAGTGCTAATGCCTCATTGGTTGTGACCGCACAAAACACAAGAAATCAAATGTTAAAACAGGCTGTGGGGTGCAGTTTTATCTGAACATGTACAATTAAAACCGGGGGGGGGGGGGGTCTTTATAAAGGAGTTTATCAATAAGTAGCACGTCGGTTAGATATTAACAGCCATAACCTGCCTGGACGAGTTTTGAAAAATTCCAGCGTGGTGCAGTAAGCTATCATCAAAAAATGATTACAGTACCTGCAATCTACAAGTCTTCCGAGTTGTACAAAACTAAACAGCACAGTTTCTTTAGCCGTACATTGTAAAAAGAGACACGGGGGGGTGGGGGTGTGGAAAATGTATGAATGCATTTATAGTAATTCGAACTTTAATATTTGTGTTAATTTAACAGTTTTTGCTCACTCGGTCTGGTTGGAGCGAGCGGTTCTGTGGGAGGTCGGTAAACTTACCCCCCCCCAGAGTACAGTGACAGAAAATAACCACATTTCGTGTGTGTGCTGTGTCATGTGTAAAAAAAAAGGGTCCTGATTAAGTAGGCTGTTTTTTTTATGAGTGCCTTTCCTTAATCCGTCAGTGTGAACCCCTCCCAACGGAGGAATACCGTTACACGTCAAGATGTTAAGAAGCTCTTGAGTCGGTGCCTTGGTCTTGTAGAGGTTTTGAAAGGAATGAAAAGTAAAAAAAAACCTCAACTGTTGAAACCTCTCTGCATTCATCCTGATTTGTACCTAGCACCATTTTTCGACATCAAACGTACCATTCTTGTCCTTATAGTATGCCTGTTCAACCTCTTATTTGATCGTATTCAATGGGTATGCATTCGGATGCATATTTTTAATGCCAGCCTTTGTACGAGTTGGCGTTCCGTGTTTGGTATGGCACTTAATAAACTGACGATTATTCATGATGCAGAATTGCGCAGCTGTGAAAAAAAAATCCCATCAATGTCTGTCCACGAGCGTAGGCCATTGTGTGCCTGCGCCATTTAAACACTGCCGCCCACATTTACGAAGTTACGGAATGTTTCTTTGCACTTTTCAAAGGCCACCCCTTCGATTATAACCACAGTGTGTTGACTTATCTTCAACGGCGCCATTACATGGCAGTATCTGGCTTGCTATAATTAGAGCACTCGATTTGCAGTTGGAAGCTTGTGAGTTTAAATATCAATCGGGAGTTGACTCATCCCGTCATTTGCCCGATGTTGATAGAGTTAAGCACACTTCGTGGGAAGTCGGCAATAGTTTTTGGTTTTCAAAGAACTGGCCCCTGCCATGGGAATGTGGAATTTTCCTCCACTTGCTCAGGGCAAGCCGAATTGTATGCTCACTTGTTGCAGGCAGACTGCCCAATCTTGAGTCGTGCAATACATGAGAGTGGGCATTCAAGAGTGAGTGGCTGGCCAGGTTTGCAAACTGAAGGGCCCTAACAACATTCGAGTACAGAATACATAGTTTGTACCTAATTCTAAAGATCCATTGTAAATCGTGCCTAGAATGAACAAAAAACATGATCGTGACAAATGAGAGTATAATTTCAAGAGCAGAATAATTTCAATGGGCGCGAATTTTGACTTAAAGCTTTCGTGACTGCAGGAATTCATACTCTGCGTCTTTCGGTAAGGTCAGCAGTTCGCCTGCTGGAATTTTTTGACCCGAGGACGATTGCTTGTGTTGCGATCGAAACGTATTTTTTTCATTTTTTCCATTTTTTCATTATTTTTCTATCTACTTGACTTTGCCGAAAGACCCAAAGAGTATGGGCACGAATTTCTGTACGTTTCCGCCAGGCCTGGGTACAATAGAAATGTAAAGAGTCACCATCCTGGCGGTTCGATAAATTGTCGCGATTCAGAATTGCAATTTGATGAGTGATCCATGCTGTGAATACAATGGCTAGGGTCAAATGAATTCCATGCTGTGAATACAATGGCTGGGGTCAAATTAATTCGATAACATGCGGCAAGCCCTTTTGTGAACTGAACGCCTCCCTACGTCAGTTAGGGTGGTGTTTGACCATACTTCCCCACCACGGGTTAGTCAATGGCCGTACCCCAAGCCCAGCCACTAATGTGAGCTGCAGCCAGGAATCCGACATACCGTCCTCACTGGCTATATAGTGTGGTGCGCGTACCACGGCACCACCAATCCCTCCACATGCAACGTATGTTGAACTTCTTTCGCACCGTACGTAGTCGACCGTGATGATCGGAGGTGCGGGGGAAGGACGACAAACTAAACACAAACGTATGGATATAACAACGTCGGTTAATCTTAATGCGTATATCTTGAGTGTAAAGGTCACAGTCGGTGACACAACGCACCGTAAGTCCTCTGGTGTGTGATACATTGCATTGAGCACGAGGGCCGGTGGCGATGTTTGTCCCAGACGCTAGGGGTTGCTGTGTTTCTGTGTTGCCCAGTGGGGTGAGTGATGGGCATTCTCTGGCTGTCTCTTTTGTGACTCCATTTGGATTGGCGAGCTCTACGTTTAGCAATCATCAGGTGGGCGCGGTGTGTAACAGATGAAGTTGTATTTGGACAGAGATACATGGGTCAAACTCAAAAATGTACTTTTTTTAAAACCATTATTTAAATCACGTCGAGCAAGGCACTAAATAAAAGAGTATTAAGTAATTTTTTATTTAGACAGGTGAGAACTCAGAAGAACAGAATGTCTAATTTGCAAGAATGACCCACATCACCAAGTGACAGAAGCAAAACAAGATAAAGTACCGCAACATATAAATTATAACAAAGTGTTGGCTAATATTGTCCCAAAAGATTTGAATGTGTTGCCACACTCAATTCAAGCAGACCACCATTATCATCATTATTCTTATGTGATTGTAAATGTGGCTGTATGTGGTACAGTCATCATCACAATTGTTAAACATGTTCTATCCACTGCTGGACGAAGACCTCCCCAAGCTGACACAGTCTCGTGATGTGTCGCTTCAGTATCTGCACGCAAAAAATGAATACATCGAATCCACATTGGTCATGAACACCGCCTTTTGACAAAAAAATATATATGAGGCTGATGTTTTTGGCAATGTAATTTCTCTCTGCCCGGATAATGTCTCCAGCAATTATCTTCCTTTGTTCAGTGAACATATCGTACGTGCCTTGTATTGTTCGTATTAATGTTTGCCCTGATACTGATATAAATTACAAACGATGGGATGAAACTTGAGGTGTGTGTGGTATCCAGCCAGCCCACCACATCCCTTCAGAGGCAAGAGGTCGTTAGTTCAAGCGAGTTTTGTGCAACTCCCAGAGCCACTGGACTGCTGCAAAGGAGACAGCAGCAGTGCAGCGCGTGGATTCATGAACCCATCTGTGTGGGCCCTTTGAGCGTTATCATCGTGTGTGGTGGGTTCTCTGGGGATTCTCCGGTTCCCTTTCACGTGCAACCAAAACGCGAACTAATGAGTTGGACGACAACAACAAAAATCACAATGTAGGACCCCTCTGAAAAATTTAGTTTGAAACTTGAGCCCCTTCGTGGATAAATACATTAATAATAAACAGTGCGGTCGGGGCAGGGTAGTTTACACCGCCGTTATATGAACATAAATGACCGTCTTATTTCTCAAGACGATCATTGGGCCAGGGCTTGTCTCCAATAACAGCTCTGAGTCGCTGGTGTAAATACCACATTCCTGGAGTCCTGATCCCATAGGAGTGCCGCTTTTGGCTAATTCCCACCCCTCTTGAGATTAAAAGATATAGGGTTGAATGTCATGCGACAATCTCATTGCAAAGGACATGGGAAGGTCTTTCTGCTTTCCAACCGTGTAATGCAAAGTTAATGCCTCTGGGCCGTTCTGTAACGCACAGAGCGCACCGTTATGTGAGATTTCCGAAGGGATTCTTCTTTTCATGACATGACATCGATAGCACAATTGCAATAAACGGGGCGGGCGGGGGGGGGTGACAAATCAATGGATATACAAACAAACAAAAACAATTGCATTGATAACATTTATCCTCATGAAATATGTACTGGTGTGTGTTGTGATGCTCAATAACAAAACAAGTCCTTCTAAGAGAAAAGAGCACAACCACTTGATTTCCAAACAAGGTGGTATACTCAACTCGTATCAAACCTGCAATGACAGCTGATGGGCCGAATTGAGCCGTGACTTGGAGCCGAACTCGCCGCTCGCCTTTCAACGTTTCCACCGCCTCTTGAGTCGTCTCCGGGCGCCTCGTTGTGGGGGACGCCACCGCTTGGCAGTCGATTGAGGAGAGACCCCTGCCTGCTTGCCCCCCTGTCTGTGCAGAATCGTTCCGCTTGCCCAGTGATTGCAGCAATGAGCTCGGAGAGCGTAATTATACCTGCGAGCGCTACACGCTGTCTAGGCTTCCCGTGCTGAAATATTTAACAACGCCCGCCTATCGCTTACTCATTGTGTGTGTGTGTTTTTTTTAACACTCCAGAGGCACTGCAAAGAGGAGCGGCGCTCAAAAATATAATCTGAGAAGGCCGTAGCATTGCCGTTGTGCGGTTTGGGGTGAAAAGTATTCGCCAAACATGTGCTCGCCCCGGCAGCTTATCCCCAGCCGTCTAGTCAACCATCCGTCAGTAATAATCGCCATCTCACCGACCTTAACCCTGACCAACACGCCACTGTAGCGTTGACCCCGAAGCCGAGACAAGTAGCCAACCAGCCACTAGTCACAGCCATATAACCAACCGAGCAAATAATGCTGACCCCCTTCGCTGATCAGGCTTTACACTGCTTGGCTTAGGGGTAGAATGTACGTTTTTGTTTATTTGAGGCTCCTGTATTTCTCTCCGTTCGCTCGACGTCTTCACCGCGGGAGCTTATTGTTGTTTGTATGTAAGCATGTTGAACTTCTTACGCACCGTACGTAGTCAACCATGCGAATCGGAGGTGCGTTGTTGGGGCCCTACACTTGCATGCATTTTGACTTGTCGTGTTTGGAGAGAGCCTTAAGCCGGTGCCTCGGTTGGATGCAACTCTGTTGCCACGCGACTGAATCACTTTCGTGCGGACGTCTCTGCAACCAGTTGCTGTAGTGCAGCGGTTACCGCGCTGCGCTACGAACCCGGCGGCAACGAGTTCGATTCCCGCTCAAGGACAACACAAGTGGCGATTATCTGAACCGGTCCAGGGCCCTCCGCTCGGTCGACTCGGCCTGAAATTAGTACCTTGTGCGGTGTGTAAACATCGTCACTGGGGAGACAAAGGCGGCCGGGCGTGGTGCTGGCCACCCACCCACCCCCTCGTGTGCCTCGCCGGCCATTACAGGCGCTTGCTAACTTGCCCCAAAAGTCTCTTAAGGCTCTACCTTTTTCTCCTGATCACAGTAGAGTAGAGTCCAGTAAGGCAATCTCTCTCTCGGCGATTTTTATTTTCTACAGCGACGCTAGTTCCGTCGCGCGCGCACCTCGCGTCGAACTCCGATCCTGAGCCACGTGCGATTGACCCCCGCTGCGCAACCACTCGCTCGGGATGCCGGACAAAGGTCGCCGCGAGAAGTGGTCACTGCGAGAGCGATTTGCTTTCTCAACCGTGCGTCCGTGCGTCCGGCTGCGGTGATATTTGTGTCGAATCGAGGCTGGTGGGGGTGGTGGGGGGGGGCAGTTGGGAGAGGCGGGAATGTGGCTTGGGGACGGCAGTGATGGAGTTCATTGCCCACTGAAGGAGTCGCCCTGGTTATTAAGTGTTATCGCCGTTAATTGCTCGCCTTGCAGCGAAAGTCACGGAAAGCCCCCCCCCTCCTCCTCCCTCCTCCCTCCCCCCGTGTAACCCGGCGCTCTGGTTGTTCGCTAATTCCTCCCGATTGCCTCGTGGGTAATTACTGCAATCAGGGCCATTGTTCTGATGTGTTTTTTTCCTTGAGCGAAGTCCCTGTGAGTTGAAAGCGCCGCGTG